ATATATTATAATTATATTATATAAATAAATAAAAATGCCACATAGATTAATATTTATATTTTAATTAAAAACAAATGCAATTACTTATTTACCCTCACCCTCCCAATCCCTCTTCTTCCCCTTTTTTCTTTCTCTTTCTTTCTTTCCTACCCCGGGTTGGTGGAAAGCTGGGTTCATCGGAACCCAACATAGAAACATCCAACATTTGGTAAAGATGGAAAGTAGCCAATGGAGGGCTCTAGGCTCTGCATGCTCCTACCCATTTTCTTGCTTAGCGATGACTTGCCAATGGATAACTCCAGGCTCAAGAGGAATGGCACTGGTATGTTTCCGAAGCAGATTGCGCTTGCCATTTCCTCACCAACTTCAATGTGGGTCTCCTGGGTCATGGGTACTTTCTTTCCAGATGTTGATTTTGCTTCTGTTCTTGTTTGTGCTATTGTGGGTTCTTTGATAGATTTGTTGATTTTGGGTTGATTTGTGTTGGCTCAGGGGATGCTCAGATTGGCTCCAATGTGACTGCTCTCGATCCATCATGGCGAAGCCAGCAAAGTTGGGTTTGATTGAAACCCAAATCTCCTAGGTTTCGACGGACCCAGCCTGGGTTTGTCAAAACGCAAATATGCTTGGTTCCGATGAACCCAGATCTGCTGGGTTCGTCGAAACCCAACCTTGCTGTTTCGACTCGATTTCCATTCCCAGTTGTTAATAAATTTCGGAGTTTATTTACAATTTGATTGATTTTTGTTAGAATTTAATTAGAGTTTGATTGTATTTTTGTTGGAATTTGATTAGAGTTTGATTGATATTATTTATTGAAGGGTTAATTTGATTTGATAACATCTGTTATGTTAGGTTTGAGGCTTCAATGAAACCTAGTAGCTGGGTTCAATGACAGAGAATTTCAAATTCTCCTTTGAAGCATTCTAGGGTTCATAGGGTTCATAGACATTATTTTGTGAGGACTCTACTGCTAGTGCAACCCAACTCAAGTTAGATTGATTTTGCAGAGAGTGAAGATGAGAGACCATTCTAGGGTTCACATATCTTTATTGGTGGTTTGCAGGCAACGTGAGACGGTGTTGGTGCAGGAAGAAGATGACATGTCATAAAAAGAGTCCAGTTCAGCACATTTTTATGTTGTTCTTGCCATGTCATCAAAAAAATAATAAAAATACCATGCGGCTGAGTTAACGGCCCAAATTGACAGAAAGACAAACGTTGTGCATTTCTTAGAGTTGAGGGATCAAAAAAGTACAAAAAATTGTTGAGGGACCAAAAATGTGCAACTCACTAAAGTTGAGGGACCAAATTTAGCATTGAACCTTTTCAATTAAACTAAGTTTTTTTTAGTGTTTTTAAAATCTAAACCGATTTTGTTAAAATTCGAAATTGGTTTTGAAAA